GCCGCGGAGCCCAGCCAGGAGGGGGAAGGGAAAGCTCTGCTGGGGGTGGGCACAAAGGGGAGGGAAGAGCAAGGAAGACAGACATGCCTGGAAGAGTCTGTGTTAGCGTCAGTGTCCCTGAGACACTCTGGCTTCAGCTGACTGCGAGCTCCGCACACACCCAGCCGGCGCCACCGTCGCTGACCCGGGCCGCTGCTGCTGTTAGACTGAGGCTTTTCAGCCATCCTCAGACCCTGACTCACTGGCACAGAATCTGGGCGTGGGGGGCCCTTTGTGACGGTGCCACCTATTAGGGATAGGCAATGTAGCGACAGAAAACAGGCCCGCGCAAGGTGGCAGATCCAGGACCTCGGCGTGGCAGCCCGGAACACTCAGCGGTCCCAGGGGGGCGGCTGGGCATTGGGCGAGGCCCTGGATGCAGGAGGAGGCTTAGCTGGGCCGGGTGCTGCCCATGGAGGTGGGAAGGGCCCTGCGCCGCAGGAAGCGCCCTCAGCACGGACGCACGGCACTGACTTAGCGCTCCACGCCAGGGAGAAGGCGGAGTGGGTGAGGTGGCAATGTCATTTTTCTTCCCCTTTGTGAAAATCTGCAAGTCTTTCCAGTTCCAGGGCCTCGGCATCTTGTCCCATCTGGGGTAGCACCTTGGACCCCTCTGTTAACCCCCCGCTAAGTTCACCCCCAGCACGGTCCCCGTAAAAGGGAAGAGCAGGAGTGCCAGGGAGGTCGCACCGCGTCAGGCCTGTGGGGCCGCTTTTACCCTTCAGTTCTGAGACGACGGACTCACGCTTACATTTATTGTGCATAAATGTGTCACTTGGATCTGTTAAGTCTGTTGTGAAATGTCACCTCCTATCTTAATCATGACATTTAGTTTCATTTTACCTTATTTCGAATTATCAAGCAGCTTTTGCTGCTAAAGATACTCACATTGAGGCTAGCACACCATCGAACCTTCGATTCTACTGATTCCACTTGATGCTCAAACTGTGCCAACCTCCTTCCCACAACCAAAGGCTAAAGACAACTGCTTTTCCTTTGTTCTTACGTGTTCGCTCTTTTATCCACTTGTAATTTGCCTAGCAAGTGGTTCTTCGCTGAACTGAATTGACTTCACCTTGATTTATTTCAACATCGTCCGTCTATCTTTGGGCCAGTCCAACACTCTGGCAATTACTGTTCCTTTATCACTTTTGTAGTGTTTCCAGGGGGCTGGGGAGGTTGGGGCCTCGGGGGGCCTGGGTTCCATTAGAGTAAAAGCGGAAGGAAGTGGGGGCCTTCCACAAACGATGTGGCTGTGCCGGAGCAGGGGGCGCCGGGAGCGGCGGGCGCCGGGCGGGGCTGGGCCTCGAGGACAGCCACGTCTGCGTCTGATCTGGCCAAAAGGTGGCCGACTCGCCCGCTGCGTGTGCACGCGTGCTCTGCGGAGCCCGAGTCTCATGCCGCAAAGCTTGTTCTGAAGTTTCGCTGGAGAGCACCATCACAGACTAAAAATAGCTGTGCACAGGTGGTTTCCAGGCCCAGGCCCGGCGGAATGACCACGGGAACACATGACAGCGCTGCAGGGCCCTCGGCTCCTTGCTCACCCATCACTCGGGGTCTCCCCGCAAACTGACTCACCATCAGCTGACGGTCATCTGCCGTCTCCCTAAACCGACTGTCTCGGGTTATTCCACTGCCTACTTTCTAGCCTTCTTGATAAAAGTTCATAAACATTGTGGTCACTTTTATGTTTGTTTCTTAACTGTTCTGGAAAGAAAATTACCATCAGGAAAATACTGTGCACACAAGTCCCCGTGGCTCACTCTTACCCGCGTCCGAATGGAACTCGACAATACGTGTTGCTTTCCCGGGCTGGAGCGGGGCTCGGCAAACAGGACTTACTTAATCCGCAGGTGAACCACATCTTTAAGGTCTATTTATTTTTGCTCTTGCTTCTTTAAGCTTGGTTAGGTGAATAGGTGAAGAGTGGAATAGATGAGTTCAAACTGAAGGACCCAAAATTATCTTGGACAACCTATCTCTGCATCTCTTATGTAAGAGCTAAGACTAGAAGGAATGGCGCCGACATAACGAAATTGGTTCCCGGTGACTGGGTCCTGGGTGCTTTGGTGTCACTCTGGCCAATCGAGTGCGTTTTATTATTATTTACAAACTTACTAAGACGAGGACAGAGCACACCGCACAGGGGCGTGGAGAAGTGGCTGACATCATTCCTGAGCAGGTCTGGACAGGAACTGATCTACTTTATACCTTTCATTTTTCAAAGACACTTTATTGCATCATCCTTCATTTTTGCACCATGCATGGCTCCCCGTGAGCTCCCTTCCCCCGCACCATCACCGTGGTCCCTCATGCTCTTCCCACCCTTCCCGGGTCCTTCCCCCGCCCCTCCCCTCCAGCATGTCTGATCTATAGTCGCCTGGTAATTCTGATTTTTACTTTATTACTTTTTTCCCGATTCCTTTTTTGTTTTCCATATATACATTCCTCCTATAAGTGGGACCATTCGTTATTTTTCTTCTTCCTGGCTTATTTTGCCGAGCATGGTCCCTTCCAAATCCGTCCACGTTGCTGCGAAGGGCATGAGCTTATCCCTTTTGATTACTGAGTAATATTCCACCGCATACACCTTTTATCTTAATAAGGTTTCATCTTGTGATGCTGCAGATTTTCTAAAACTCATCCAATGCCCCAAACTTCGTTGGTTTCTGTGACTGTGGACTCTTTGTATCAAAAAATATGGGTTAGCTTAGCTTAGCTTTGCAAACCAGAAACAGCGATCCATCTTCTAAATGATTGTTTACACCTGATTCCAAAGGCCAGCAGGTGGAAGTGATCCACCAGCTTTAACGTGCCTTTGGGATGTCTACCCCAACATGCCCTGCACTGGGGCCTTCAGGAAGGCGGTGCCTCATGCTGGTGAATGTGTTGGTTTGCCTGGAGTGAACTCACCTCATAAATTCATACACTGTGCTGTTTCTACTACTCGAATCCTTCTCTGGTTGTATTATTCAATGAATGCATATGTATTCTAGGATATACACTATGTATTATATAGAGGATTATAGGTGAATCTTCAGTGTGTGTACAACACAGATCCCATAAATATGTATTCTCTATTAACTGTAACATCAGCTGATGCCATGGCAGAGTGAGTAGCAAGCCCACGCCGGTGCCTGGGCGGTGCGGGACACGCCTCCAGGGCGAGGTGCCTCTGAGGCCAGCAGCGGTCTCGGCGGGCGCCTGCGGCTCTGGACACGCGCCCGTGACCACTGATCAGGAGGCTGCGTCCTGCGATGAAGGCGGGGATGTGGCGAGGTGCGGGTTCGGGGTTCCGGGTACAAAGCAAGACAGCGAGGGGCACAAGGGCACTGCACCCCGGCCGGAGCCTAAGGGGAGTGTGGGCCGGATGCAGCTGCTAGGGCCGCGCTTGTCCTCACAGCGCTGAGCACTAGCGCTGAGGGCGGCGGGGAGGCTGCGGGCGCTGCTCTGCCCTCTCCTGGCGTTTCCTCTGTGCACGAGACCCTGGGTCTCCCCCCACCCAGGTGGTCTGAGCAGCCCTCTGCTGCTCCGAGGTTGCCAGGGCTTGCTGTCCTCGGGGGAGCCATGGGGGGGCACCTCCTTTCTAGGGCCCCAATCTCACCACCCCAATCGTGTCACCTCCAAATTCCCCACCTGGAGGTTGGGGTTTCAGCATGACTTGGGGGCGCCTTCAGTCTATGCCTTTGGAGTGTCCTGGGAGGAGCAGGACAGGAGCATGGTCAAGGGAAGGGACAGGCCCTAAGAGTTGTTTTGTTTACTTATGCAACTGGGGTGCACGCCAGAGGTGCTGAGGCGAGAGGATTCACCAGAGACAGGTGGGGAGCAGCAGGGCTGGGGGTGATCAGGAGAGGTCTGCTGCGCCCTGTGGATCACTCCCCACAGGGCTGAACTTAGCTGAAGCAGCGTTGTGCCATCAGGGAGGCCTTGAGAACTGCTCTAGGCCATTCTCATTTGTCATCAAAACTTTGGGGAACCACTTCTTTTTTGATGCAGGAAAATGGAAGTTCAGCTGCTGACTGCAAAGAGCTCCTGAAGCCACACTGGAGAGCACATGGTGGGGGACACAGAGGGCGGCGGGGGCCAGCAGCGGCCTTGACTGGGCACCGGCGGGGTGGGAAAGGCTGCAGGCGGCGCAGAGGCTCACGTGGGCGACCGGGAACGCGGCGTTGGCTGAGCGGCCTACCAAGCCTTGGGCACCGGCCAAGGCCGCAGGGGGTGAGGTGCTTGCAAGGTGAATTTACTGGGGGGCTGTTGGCTGGGGGGGAGGGGAGGGGAAGTTGGGGGATGACCCTGGAGGCAGGGCCCACACAGACCAAGAGGCGAGTGTGTGACCTGGGAACAGGAGGGGGGGTCTCGGTCTTCTGTGTGCTTTGGGGGTGCAGGGGGAAGTGGCAAGGAGCAGGCAGAGTTTCAAAGACACCCAGAAAAGACTTCTGCAATTGGTCACGCGGCTGATCCTGGAGGTCCAGTGACCCAAGATGGGAGACGGACATCACACTGGGCCGCAGCGCCCAGCGGACTGGAGGCGGTGGCGAGCGGGTCTGCGTCCTGGGCACGCTGGAGCCCCAGCCTAAGCCTGCCCACTAGCTGCGCCCTTCGCGCTCCGTCAGGGCCTCCCTTTGGCCGTCTGTAGCGGGTCCGCAGAAACCCGCCACTGGCTGCGGCCGTCCAGCGGGACAGACGCCAGCTATGGGGTGTGTACCCCGGCATGCACCCTGGAACCCCTGCGGGAATGGGGCAGAGCTGCCTGGCAGCATTGGGGGTCCCCAGCCAGGCCGGGGCCCTCCCCAAGGCCTGGGGGTTGGGGCCTCAAGACCCAGAGGCTCGCTTCAGGCCCTTCCACTCCCTCCCGACGGGCAGAAAAGGTGTCCAGCAGCGAGGTGACCGCTGCCAGACCCCAGGCTGGAGGCGCCAGGCCGGCTGGCCGCGGCGGCAGGGAAGCAGCGTGCACACCGGCTTTGAAACTAGTTTAATCGGTTGTAAAGACAGCTAGGAAACACGCTGGTCTGGCAGTCTCCAAAGGCCACAAGGAGACACCACGCGCTGAGGACACGGGCTAGAAACCACAGCCACGCGGCCACGGCCCAGCGCCACGGGGGCAGCATTTGGCAAACGACTCATTCATGGGTGCGATGAAAAACAACACTTCTTTAAAAAAGTATTTTGGAATAAAAACACACATCAGCTAGCACGTTCTAGTCTCACCGGGGAAGGCGAACGCGTCTGGCGAGCCCAGGGCTGGGTGCCACACCTGGGCACCCGTGTGTGTGTGGGGGGGCAAGGCCACGCAGGGTGCAGGGGAGGCTCCTCCATCCCCGGGGAGGCCGGGTGGGGGGCGGCTGTAGCGTGTTTGCTTCTTACCTCCCTGGGATGATCAGAAACAAATGGATTTCGTGGACAAATAGAAGCGAAAATGCTTAAAGTTGGGGAAAAGGCCTATTTTAAAAATACTAACCAAGTTACATAACTTTGCCCCTCACAGAAACAGGACAGAAAGGAGCAGTAAAGCGATTTCTCAGAAGATGCCCACGCAGACTAAGCAGGGCAGTCACAGGGTGTGGCCCTGTCCCGCTCAGACGCGTCTTTAAGAAAACGCCCACTTTATGGCAGTCGCTCGGCGCCTCGGTGCCTCTTCGCGGTCCACTCGTCTAGGTGGCAGAAGCTGGGCAGGGAGCTGCCCGGGCCAGCGAGCTGGGTGAGCAGCCGCGCACAGGAGCGCCGCAGGCTCTCGGCTCTGGGCCTTCGCAAAGGGTGGGCCCACACAGCGGTCGCGGGAGGGGAGACACGTCGGGGTGCGGGTGTCCTGGCTGCTTCAGGCCTTCCCAACCCAGAGCTTGCAGCTTGTCAGTTCTTCACTGGGATTTTAATCATGTAAAACCAGCAAATCTGATGTTGAGGCAGATGAAACAGTACTAGGCATGCCGTCCACCCACTGAAGCCTAACTGGCGGCGTCCTTGCACAAGAGCCTCCAGAACACAGCTATTCACCGGACACGGGCAGTCCTCCAAAATGCCAACGTGGAGAATTTCCTTTAAAACTTCCCTCCACGATGTGCTACGAGAGCTTCAGCTGACGCCGGCCGGTGCCACGGAAAACACCGTGCAGACGCCGACTTCTCGCCTCGCGCCCCGGTTCCAGCGTGGCATCCCGCCGGTGCACGATGCCCTTCTTCAGCGCCGGCAGCGCAAGGGGCATAAACTCGGTTCCAGCAGCTACGTACGTGCAAACGTGACCGACCAGCCCCTCACCACACGCGCCCCGGGCCAGGTCTAAGTTCCGCAAGGTACTTGAGACTGTGCTTCACTGTTTACCGAGACTTCTGCACCTACCTCCCGTCTGATGTATTCGACTCCAGTTCAGAGGGGCTATCGGTGCCTGAGTAAAATTCACAAATGCTGGTTTAGACATAAAACTGGACAAAATCTTCACTGACACAGTAACAGGCACCATTCTGAAACACCTGTTCTCTCAAGTGGTCTTCCCCTTTGACGCCCGCTAGTAACCCCGATGTGTATTATGTTTAAGGAAACAGAGGAAGCGCAAATGTCCAGAGTGGCTCCTGAACATGCAGATCATTCACAGAGCAGGAATTTTAAACGCGATTTCTGTCCCAAGCGTAACTGCTCCTCAAATAGAATTTTACATTTCATATTTTTAATTCTTTCTGTAATTTAAAATAAGGTGCGGTCAAGTTAAACACGCCTTAAGACTCTTCCAAAGAACTCTTATTTGAGAAATCACGTAGTGGTCAGCCTCGCCCAAACATCGGTCAACCACAGCGGGCGGACATTCTTCCGTGGCCCAGGGCACACACGGAAGCCTAAGAGCAGAGAACGCACGCGGCGATGTGCTGTGCCTGTGCCAGACTGTGTCGGGGCATGGTCCGTAGAAGTGGCCGGCGGCCTGCTCTGGGCTAATGGACCCAGAGGTCTGCTCCGTTGCCAGGACGACCCCCCGCCCACGAAATGCCAGTCGCGGACGGCCCCTGACACACGCGTCTCCGGGGACCTTCCCAGATCCCAGCGGGCCCCCTTCAGCGCAATCACACTCACTCACACTCACGCTCACGCTCTCACACACTTGTTCACACGCACGCACTCACATACTCACAAACGCTTTCCCCCACACCCACAACTCTGACACTCACACACGTTCCCACACTCCCTCACGCACCCACTCTCTCCCACACACACTGCACGCAGGGGCGCGGCCATCTCCTTCTGGAAGGCCCCCCGGGCTCGTGCAGGTCCTTCGGCCTACAGGGGGCCCCGGCCCACAGGCCCCGGGGCAGGTGAGCCGCGGCGGCCCGGGGCCCGGCCACGGTCACCACCGCCTTGGTGTCAGCAGCCCCCAGGTTACGGAGCCCCTCTTCTCTTCCCTGCGACTCGCCCCGGCTGCCCGGAGACCCCGTCTCTGCGGCCGCACGAGGCGGGGTGGCGGCATGCGGCGGCAGAGGGGTGGCTGCGCCTTCTGGAGCCGGGGAGACCGTCCCTGTTCTAGGAGCTAGAATGCCCCTGAGTTCCAAGACAAACGATGTTTAAACACTGACAATCAGCCACTTGCCAGAGGGCGGACAACAGCCAGCGCCGGTGAGCGGTCGCTGTTTCAAGAACATGAAGCGGAGGGAAGAATAATGACTTCTGCTCGCTTTTTTCCCTGAGTAGAATGTAATGAGCCTAAAGCGTAAATACGAGGCTGGCTGGCTCTCTGGAGGCTGCAGGACAACTGAGAGGTGGAGAAACGGCCCCAACATGTCCTGAGCCCACACACCGCGGGGAAGCCCGTGACACTCAGCAGCGGAGACGCGCCGGCCGGCAGTCCCCGCAGATGCCCCTCAATGCCCCTCCACAGCGCAGAGACCCTTCTTGAGAACTGAGAAGCCCAGTTAAGAATCAGAAGTTCTTCTTCTAGGTTAGTGTGTATCAGTGGTTATAGTTTCTCCAGAACTTGCAGAAAGCTACGCCGAAGCCATTTCAGTTCAAACCAGCTGACCCAGAGGGACGCCGGCCAGTCTGGAGGGTGGCTGGCGGAGTCTCCACCACCATCTTGCCTGCCGGGTGGTGACAGGGCCCGGGGCAGCAGCAGGTAACCGTGTTCACGGCTGAGGAGTGAAACAGTCGGTAGCAGGAATAAGTGGCGACTGTCCTCAAGGGGCCAGGGACACTGAACTAAAGGAAGCTTCGAGGCCTTCTCGCGCTCACCTGGGACAGGAGAGGCTGTCCTCTAACATCTACGTTTCTTTATTCCCGCAGTCCTGACCAGCCTCGGCAGCGCTACCTAGATGCCGAGGAGACGGCGGGTGGCAGCCACTCCCGCTCTGTCCTCGGGTCAGACGCCAGCTCAACTTCTCTACCTGGGAGAGGGAGGAATTCTTTAGCTACCTTTGCTTGCCTTAAACCCTCTGCTTAGCTGTCCTTTCTTGGGACGGTGGAAACAAGTCACCTTGAGAAAAAGAAAAGCATTTCGTATCAACGAAGACCAGGATTATTTCTGAATTTCTAAAATGAAACACCGACGCTTCTGCTGGCTGTGCGCAGAGCCGTTCCCAGCGCTGCGTGCCCGCTTCGAGAAGATGCCAGGTAATCTGCCCTTAACTGCACTTGCAAATTCATTCCTAACAAAAATCCCCAGAGGCTCACCATAGGCAGACAGTCCAGCACTTCCTTGAAAGATTTAAGGCAAAAGAAAAGTTCTACAAAACTGGTCAAAGGCAGGGGACACTCAGGCCTTTCTGTCTCTGACCGGCCCTGCCTGCCTGCCCTGCGCTCCCAGCCCCTCTCCTGCTCTCTGCCACGCCACCCTCACCAGCCCTCGCGTCTCGCTCTCTGGAGAGCTGAACAGAATAGGGGGAAAATGACCCGTAAAACTAAAAAGCACATTTTTATACTTGAGAATCTAAAACCCACTAACAAGCAAATTTGAGGTGAGAAGCCGAGTCTGGAAGGAGCGAATGCTTAGCTCTCTCCCACAACGTGGTTCGCCCGCCCGGTGACTCACTGTACTCACTTCCCTCACACTTTCCCAAACAGGAATCGAACTGCCAAGGGGCAGAGTGATGGGCGCGCGAGCGTCTCCCAAGACCGGCCAGCGCCCGGCAGCTTCTCCGTCCCAGCTCCAGACGGTTTGGGTTTCACAAGTTTCCCTTAAAGTCCAAAGCAACAGCCAGTCCCTGAACTTCATGCCTCACCTCAGCACAAACAACTGGGCGCCCGGGAGGCCCGCCGGGCGCGGCCACCCTGCCCCTCAGCCGCCCGGCGGCCTGGCCCCAGCACGGCCTCCACTCAGGCCTGCCCTCCTCTCGCCCTCTCTCGTGTGGAAGCAAACAGCGGCGTTTCTGCCGCATCTGGGAGCCCCTGCGGGGCGCTGCCTGACCCGGGCGCACGCTCTTCGCGAACGGCCTGCGCTGGGTCCCTGCCTCCTTCACGGCTTCCCCGCGAGCAGCGGCCGCCGCAGACACGCTAAGGGAGCCCTTCCAATACTGAGATGTTTATTGCAATGTCGGAGTCTCCACACCCTTAAATGGCCTGTTTCGGGCCCCCCAGGTCCTCGGCAGCACGCACGGCAGACATGAGGGAGCGTCCTCACCCGGTCACACTTGCAAAGACCCCTGGGAGCAAGAGTTTAGGAAACAGAGGGTTTAAGGCAAGACATTCATTAGGAAAAGTCACCAGTCGCTCTCCGTCACCCAGACGCACACAGCAGCCTCCCACCGCCCCGGGGCCGCACCCCGTGACCCGCGCCGCCGAGCGCCCGGTGTGGGGCACGTCCTACCCGGCGCGGCCCGGGGCCCCTCCGTCCGGTCTGGCATACCAGGGACTCCCGTCGGGACGCCCGGGCTCCCCACTGCGCCCCTGCAAACATGCACAACGCCTGGACAGGTGTGAGACAGGTTTCCGCTAACACAGAGCACGGCGGGCGCACGTCCCGTCACTGCCTCAGCGAGGAGTGTCTCGAGGCTCTTTCTTGGCTGAGGCCGTAAACGCTGTTTGTTGTGGGAAAACTGTTCTGTCCCCAAGAGCCGTCCCTGTCGTCGAACTTCTTAGGTGGTGGCAGCTGGGCATCTTCGTTGGTGCCCCGCCCTCCTTGGGGTCTCTTCCCCGGCAGCAACAGTAACACCAGGATCCCCAGAATGTGAAGAATGAAATACCAGGAGCTACGAGAAAAGGGAAAAGCTCGTTTCGCTGCAGCGTGGCACCAGCAGCGCTCGGCGACTGCGTGCAGGGCGGGAGGGCCTTCAGCTCGACTTCCCTGCCAGCCGCCGTCCCGACTCGGCCACAAGCTGCCGGCCAGGGACCTCAGCAGGGCGTCCTGCTGCTTCCTGATGGCGCGGTCCCAGCAGAGGAAAGGCCACGTGGCTTAAAACGTCGCTCGGCGTCTCATCCCCAAGTACCAACCGTCACCTCCCTGCTCCCAGAGCAACTCAGTCATACGTAAAAGCAGGGAACAATTTTGTTCAAATGGAAATCAGAGCAGAAGCAACATTAAGCCTTCCTGGACAACCCATCACACTTCAAGATGCTGACCACGTCCGTGACCTTCATGCTAGAACAACGGAGAACCTCGTGCCCAGGGCCTCCGGGACGGCGCCGCCTCTACTGGGGCGGAGGACCCGCTGGGGAAGGGAGAGGAGACCAACGGCCTCCGCCCGTACGGAGACCAGACAGACCCCCGGACAGAGAGTGCGCACGGCCGCCAGGCAGCGACAGCGACGCGGGACAGGTGAGGCGCAAGTAGCTGATTCTCCCCTGACTGGACAGACTGGGCCCGGCGACGCCCTCCTCACTCTGCGCGGCCGTCCGCACTGTGCCCGCAGTGGGGCCCGGCCCCCTGACGCCCTGCGGGAGCCCCATGACGCGAGCCTCGCGAAGGCCACGGCCCCAGCCGCCGGCACCCACCTGTAGAAGGTGACCGACGGTCTCACAGAGAGAAGCACGAACGGCACGACTGTGTAGCTGATGGCCACCTGGGTCACCGCCCACGTCACCACGTCGTACAGCAGTTTAAGCGGGGGCGGGTCGACGAAGTAATGCCTGAAGTTATTTCTCATCTGAAATAAACAAAAACACCGATGTTTTCACTGTTTACAAAGCGACACCGAGCCCACCGACCAAGGCCCCGCGGCGCGCCCCAAGGGGCTCTGCGGCTGCGGGAAGCGGCTCAGGAAGACCCGCGACCCGCCGGCTCAGAGGCGCGCAGACGGAGGCCGCCCAGGGCGCGGGTCTGGGGAGCGCGGCAGGGCTCCTCGCAGCGTCTGGAGGCCTCAGGCTGCACCGCGCCAGGACCTGGCCGGCAGCGGCCACCACCCCGGCCAGCTCCAGCCACAGCTGCTAGGCCAGGTACAGCCCCGCCCGCGCCCCGTTTCTTCTGTCTCTGAGGCGAGACCGCCTCCGCCCCGCTGGGACCTCCGCGTTTGGGGGAGGGGGTCGCGCGCGAACAGCACCGGCGCGCGCAAATGCCGCTCTCCGGCCAGCTGGGAACGACGTCTCCAGAAAAGCTGCTTCCCAGCCCCCTGACCGCAGTGCTTCGCCTCCGGAAGCCGGCCAGCTCGGTCTGAGCCGCGCACACCCGCCGAGCAGCCGCCTGCGCTCTCCCGGGCCGGCGTCCTCGCCCAGGGTGCCCGCCTGGGCCCCCTCGGGGCTTTCCCGACATGAGGGTGGCTGCGGGTCTCCGCGGGGCCAGAGCGCACCCAGGCCCGCCCCGCCCCACCCAGGCAGCAGCCCCGCGGCCCGGCTCTCCTGTGCCCTCCCGCACGCAGGGACCCGGACGCTGATGTGCAGACCCCCGCAGGCTCCTCCCCGCTGTGCCCAAGTCCTCCCCCAGCCTTTCTCGGCCGCACACTGGCCCGCCCTCCAAGGGCGCTAAGCTCTCTGCGTGGCTACTGCCATGCCCACGCCCACCACCGAGGCGACCTGTCTCTCAAAGCCCAGACCAGTGCTGCGGCCAGCCCCACCGCAGGGGCCCTTCCCGCCCCGAACACACACACGCCCACCCACCACCTATAAAAGCATGGGCGTGTCACGCAGGCCTGTGTGCACACACGCAGGCTCCCACCTCGCAGCCCTTGGTCTGAGTCAGACCAGAAGGCAGGGCCCCGCCAAGTCTGGTTCCCTGCCACCCCCAGCGCTGACAGCTACAGCCTGCCGACACGCCTCCTGCGCCCGGAGCCGAGCGGGGGTTCAGCCGCTGTCACGCCACTTCCCTCAGACTGGCCACGCCCGGCGGCACGCGCCTTCCTCCGCTGCCCGCCGCCGGGCATGGCCAGTCCTCGGGGTGTCACCCTGCAGGGCTGCGCGTGCCCCATCGAGGTGTCTGCCGGGCCCGCCCACCTCTGCGAGTCCCACGGGACTCTCGCCTCAGAGGCACTTCCCGCCCGCCCGCCACGCCCGTGACGACTCAGCTTTTACCTCTCCTCAAGGCGCCAACAACCTGGGTCTGCGCTGGCACCAGGGCGGTGCCGCCGGCGGGCTCCACACCCACCCGCCGGGGCCCGGCAGTGGGGCCCGAGGTGCGGGCCGGTACTCACAGTGCGCGCGGCCAGCGTCATCACCATGCCCGTCAGGAAGGTCAGGTAGTAGCCCGGGTACACCCCGTGCCAGATGGCCGACAGGACGAAGGTCTGGACGGTCGGACTCAAGGAGGCTCGCTCGTAGCACACCCTGGAACACGGAGCCGAGGGGCGTCTGCAGAGGCCGCCCCCGCCCCCCGCCCCCGACCGGCCCAGGCTGCCCAGGGCAAGGGCCGCAGGCCATTTCGGTGACGGACTGTGGCAATGACCCCCGGAGTGTGGTCTGTGCCGCCTACTTCAGGGAACGCCCGGATGCGTGACCTCGGGGAGTCACAGCTATGGAGCGTCCCGCGAGGAAAGGGAGGCAGGCGTGAGACCATCTTGTCACTGGTCTACCTTTGAGCTGAAATAATCACGTCTTACGTCTTACTTGTGTGCGTCTGTACTAGGCACAAAACACTTTCATGTTAAATATCTTCATCTTACATTGTTTCCTTTGATAAGAATTAAGTTTCAACGATCTGCTAACTCTTCTTTCCAGCAAGCATTAGTCTAGAAGTTTTCCTGTTGCAGGACAGAGAGCTCCGAGGAAAACAGTATTCCCCTGCGTCGAGTTTAAGCTACAACCACAATGAGCTCGGCCAGTCCGCTCCAGTGGGGAGACCGCAGGGCACCCTAAGTGACGCCTGTGTATTTCAGATACCTCCGGGGAAGATGCCTGTTACAGAACAAAGGCCGCAGGGCGCTGTCCTGGGGCAGGGCTGCGGCCCGGGGTCCGGGTCCCGTGCGTTAGGAAGTTTGAGACGGGACCGTGTGTTTCACTGGGAACCAGGAGACGAGACTCCAGGGCATTTCTGGCCGAACCCGACTTAGTCTTTGGCAGGTGTCCCTCTGCCTGGCGGCCGTGCACAGCTCGGGGCCCGCGGGCCCCACCCCACCCCACATGTCCAGTGCTAGAGAGCACAGGACGCCGGCACCTCAGGCCCGGGCGCCCTTGCCAGGCGAGCGGGCTGCAGTGCGTGACGGCGACGTGGGCCGGCTCTCCCGCACTGGGGGGCGGCCACCTCTGCTGCCCGCACAAGGTCACACACCACTCAGGGCGCTGTTCCTTTCCTCAGCTTAGCCACAGCTGAAGACTGCTCTCGAAGGAACTTACCTTTTGAGCCAAAGAGCTGTCTGGATATTCCAGTTATCAAGAAACATCTTGAAGCTTGTAGACATCTGCAAAACAACAGGACCTTTCTTTGGCCAGCAAAGTAACCAAGCTGTGGACAGTGACGCCCTGCGCGGGCGGCCTGAGCGGGTCCTCTCCACGGGGCCCTTGCTGGCAAAGGACCGACCGTCCGTCGTTGGCAGCGTGGCCGCAGTCTCCTTCTGAGTGTGAATCTTCGTGGGAGCTGTGGTGCCCCGAAGAAACGCCGCTAGAGCTCATGGTGGCCTCGCGGTGGCCTCCCACGGACCGGCTCACTGACCGCAGCGCGTCCGTGGCGATGCCCAAGCCGCAGCCCCGCGTCCCCTCCCTGCACACCTGGCCAGCCTCCCGCGCCTCGGCCACACCTCCACCCTCGGAGCCGGCCCCTCCCGCGAAAGCTGTCTTGGGCCTCCTGGCCTCTCCCTGCGACGCAGCCGCCCCCTGGCCTGCACTTCCCGCTGCCCACCAACGAGCCGCAGGCCCGCTGTTTACCACTCAAGCCAAACTTCTCGAGGTCTGTTTCTCTTTCCTTTAATTTACCTGCCGATCAGAACCCCAACGACATCGAGCTGCTGCTCATCTCTCCTACATGCAGCATCTGAATGTGGGGTGCAGGCCACCACACCCCCAGAGACCTCTGTCCTAAGTCACGTTCCTCG